TGGGGGCGGACCCAGTGAGGGGGGGAAATGAGGGTCCCCTGCCCAGGCCTGACGCCTCTGTCAGAGGCATTAGGCCTGGGCAAGGGGCCAATCCTGCGTTTGGAAGGTGATGGGGGTCAATGCCTGAGGGCTCCCAGTATGTGAGAGGGGGCAGGCTGGGTTGAGGGACCCTTCCCCCCCACACACACACACACCCAGTGCACGAATTTCGTGCACCGGGCCCCTAGTCTATCAATAAGAACCTTAAATAAAATGAATCAAATGCTCCAATCAAAAGACAAAGTGTAGCTAAATAGATGCAAAACCATGACCCAACTATGTGCTGTCTACAATGAGACCCACCTCAGAGCAAAAGACACAAATAGGATGACAGTGAAAGGATGGAAATAAATTTTCCATCCAAATGGAAAAGAAAAAAAAAGCTGAGGTAGCAATACTCGTATCTGCCAAAATGGGCTTTGAAATGAAGTCCATAACTTGTGTCAACAAAGGTCACTTCATAGTAATAAAGGAATAGATCCAACAAAAGGGTATAATTCTGGTAAACATAAATGCACTCAATATAGGAGCACCTAAATATATAAGAAAACTTCTTGAGGACTTTAAGGGAGAGATAGACACTAATACAGCTATCGTGGGGACTTTAACACCCCCACTTACTTCACCGGATAGATCTTCCAAACAAAAAATTAATAAGGAAACCGTAACTCTAAATGACACACTAGATCACATGGATTTAGTTAACATTTCACCCCCAAATCTTCAGAATATATATTCTGTGCAAGTGCACATGGGTCATTCACAAAGACAGACCACATGTTAGGACACAAAACAAGTCTCTAGAAGTTCAAGAAGATGGAAATCATATCCAGCATCTTCTCAGATCACAGTGGAATAAAATTAGAAATCAATTACAGTAAAAACACCCCAAAACATTCAAACACATGGAGGCTAAATACAATGTTATTAAACAATGAGTGGGTTACCAAGGAGATCAAGAGAGAAATAAAAAACATCCTTGAAATAAATGAAAATGAAAACACAATAACCCCAAATCTCTGGGACACAGCAAAAAGAGTCCAGAGAAAGAAGTACATAGCACTACTAGGCCTACCTCAAAACCCAAGAAAAATTATTAATAAACTATTTAACCCTACAACTTAAAGAATTAGAAGAGAACAAGAAAAGCCCAGAATAAGTAAAAGGAATAAAATAACAAAGATTAGAGCAGAAATAAATAACATAGAAACTAAAAAAAATAAGTCAATAAAACCAAGAGCTGGTTCTGTGAAAAGATAATCAAGATTGATGAACTGTGAGCCAGACTCTCATCAAGAAAAAAAGAGGACCCAAATAAATAAAATTAGAAATAGAAGCAGTGAAGTAACTATTGACACCATAGATATACAAAGACATGTAAGAAAATACTATGAACAACTATATGACAACAAGCTGGACTACGTGCATAAGAAGATATATAGACTTTTACAATAATGTAAGATTAGTGCAAGAACCAATAGTACACATAAGTAGAAAATAACAAGGCCCAAGCATAATAAAAATTTCATGCAAAATATAATAAGAAAAACTAGTGTCAAATGGATGGGTTTTTTAATAAACAATTTAACCCTATAACTAATGGTGTGGGGAAATGCCTATTATGTGGAAACAATACAGATCTTTGCCTCATACCATACTTCAAAATTAATGTCCCTACGATTTAGAGAAAGACAAAGTCATTGTAAATACTACACAAGAATTTCAGTTTTCTGAAGCTATGGACAGAAAAGTAAGCCATGGAAAAATTATAATGAAGATGTTAAATTTAATAGTATCACAATGTTAAATGTAAAAATATCAGAAGCAAGGAGCAAGTAAATATAGATAATTGTATTTTTAAATATAATAGAAAAGAGGTTTATATCCTTGTGAATTAAAAGTCTAATAAAAATCAATGAAAAAATAGAATACTAAGGCTCAACAGGAAAATGGGCAAAAGTAATGAATAGAAATTTGCAAAAGACAATTTGCAAGATTGGTAAACATATGAAAATGTGTAATTGTACTAGTAATTACAGAAATGGAAATTTAAGTGTGATGACACGCTCCCCCTCCTGAGAGCATGCCAGCACCTTTCTCTTCCCCTTCTTCTTCCCTCTCAGGCATGCATCTCCTAAACTCTAGGGGATACCAGGAGCCCTGCAATCAGGGGAGCAATGGCCAGAGGCAGCTCAACCTGGGCTAACCCCCTGAAACTGTCTCCAAAGCCCCCTTTTCTCTGATTTGGCTCACTGAGAAATTAGTGTTTTTAGTAACTTAAAAAGTCTGGCATGAGTCCATGACAGAAAGAATGAATTATTACCTACATCATCACTATAGCCCACAGCTAAAATAGAAGAGTGGCTATTTTACAAGTACCATTTCCAAAGTGACACCTAAGCTAACACTATACAATATGCTCTCAGGTATACAGAGTAGCAACCTTTGACTTCCTAGCTGACCTCCATCCATTCCTATATTCCTCCTTTTTCCCTCACCAGCACATCTCCTTCCTACACCCCCAAGAACAATATTCTGTCATTTAAATGTTGAAATGACAATAGGTTTCTTACAAATCTACTTATATAAAAACCATGGGTGGTGTTCATCACGACCGGGGTCTGGCTGGCGACCAACCGGAAGGAAGTCAGTCCTGCAGGGGTTGTCTTGGCAATGGCTCTGCCCTCCCCCCAGCTGTTTCCTCTAGCTGTTTCCAGAAAGGGTGGGGTTTGAGACAGGAACCCGCCTGGGAGCCTGGTTCCTTGGGAGTGTGCTGCACCAGCAGGGCCAGGGGTGAACCTGAGTGGGGGTGGCTGAAAGGCTTAGAAAAGACAGAGAAGAGAATGAAAGCCGGGACTCGGTGGGACGCTGCTTCTCTGAGAGACAGCGATAACGTCCACAGCCATGCCTTTATTTTATAGCAGATGCTACGAGGCAAAGTAAGTGCATGACCGCAATATTTACAACATTCTCCTGGGTTTCGATCCTACTCAACTACATGCACCTGAACTCCATCAAACCTACATCACTCAGGCACGTTGGGCCTCGTGTTGGGACCATAGGTTCAAGCTTACAACTACAGCTGTTAGCTATAATTGTGCTGGGAGGACTTGAATATGGCAATGAGAGGACTGTGCCCTCTACTCAGTCCAAGGCTTGAACCTGTCCAAAACACTGTAGTGTCTCCCCACAATAAAGTTTTAATTGTGTTTCTTTGTTACTGATGTTGTGGCCCCACCCCATAACAAAGAAACAATTTCCGGAGGATGAGCCCCAGGAATCAGGATTTTAAAAAGATTCCCAGGTGATTGTAATGTGCAGCCAAGAATTGAAAGTGGGTGCAATCATCATGCCATTGGGAAATCTCAATAGTAAATTGGGTCTTTTTAATGGTACCAGATTTATTATCAAAAGATTACAACCTAACATTATCGACACTGAAGTATTAACAGGATCTGCAGAGGGAGAGGCTGTTCTGATTGAAGGATTTTACCTGGGGAGTGACATGATCAGATTTCTATCCTAGAAACAGTACCCAGGCACCCTGTTCCCAGCTGCTTCGGGGGAACCTGTTATTCTGGGAGCCTCGCCACCCCTCACTGTCCCTCCCTCCCTGGTGGTGTCTGCAGGAGAGGGCTCACCCTGGTCTGTTGGCCACTCCAGTTTGTGGCCTAAATAGTTTCATGTGTGTTACTGTGATGCCGTCAGCAATTCTGTGAGCACCTTTCAGTAGGCACTGTTGTTTTTTAAAAAAATATATTTTATTGATTTTTTAAAGAGAGGAAGGGAGAGGGACAGAGAGTTAGAAACATGGATGAGAGAGAAACATAGATCAGCTGCCTCCTGCACACTCACCACTGGGGATGTCCCGCAACCAAGGTACATGCCCTTGACCAGAATCAAACCTGGGACCCTTCAGTCCGAAGTCTGAAGCTCTATCCACTGAGCCAAACCAGTTAGGGCAACTAATTCCCTTTTAATGTGCACGAATTTCGTGCACCGGGCTACTAGTATACAGGGAAAGATGGTAACTTTTTATCTCAGAATGAAAAAGAGCACAAATTTGAGTGTGTCGCCTCATGCTAATGAGTAAATACCCTAATCTGTTGGCACAAGAATGTTGATCAGCTTCACAAATACATCGGGCGAGGGAGGCAAGACCTGTTGGAAGATCACAGCCTGAAAATATTCATGTGTTGCGTGGTGTCTGAAAGCAGACCACAGCAATACTATAGAGATGGCTTACCAATACTGCAGCCCTTCTGAAGCCCCATCTTCAACAGTTTGCAGCATCCACAGAGGCAAAAACGATTTTGCCTCTGTCCTCTCTGTATCATACTTACTGTTTTCAATGTTGAATGTAAAAAAATAAATAGAACTCTCATCCAAGAAAATAGAATTTATCTTTAAATTCAGTTTTCATACATGTTCTTCCTCTTGCGAAAGTATTCTTAGATGTTTGATAGCTAGAGCAGAGGGCTTCTGTAACATGTCGCTTCTACTTACCAAGACTAGTCTGAACATTGAGACTTATGAAAATTGTATTTTCTAGGATGTTTATTATAAATAACTGATTCTGTGCATTTCAACTTTGAAACTATGATAAGGACACAAAATTGAATACCACCCCCCCCCGAATTATTTCATAATTAATTCGCAGATGGTGCTCTTACTAACCTTGTTGTAATTAACTGCGCCAGTATATAAACAATGTAAGATTCCTTGTTAGGAAAAATACTTAGAATTTGTCTCACTATCCATAATGTTTTAAAATGAAGTTTATTTAAAGATTTTTTTTAAACTACATAAAATTGCATTCACCTATATGGCCTTATTTTTGTGCTCTGCTCTTCAATGCAACCACATAGGTGGAGTGCCATCCATATTTCACCCAGACAAAACTCCTGGAATTTTGCCAACAGCATGACATTCTCATGGTTGCATTTACTCCTTTGGGGATCTCTAAGAATCCAGACTGGTAAGTAAATACTACATGTCTCTTCAGGAAGTGTTTCCTTTGATGTAGAGTATGAGGCTAATGTGAATTATTTTATTTATTGAAATGTCTCTATTGGGCTGTGTAATCTTAAGAAACTTACTTAAACTCTTCAGGTCATTCTCCATATATCCAAACTGAGCTAATAAAACCTTCCTCACTTAGATGTTATAGGAATTGATTATACCACATGTATAAAATTATACTAACAGTGCCTGAAATACAGAGGTGATCCATAAATGCTAGTTTAGTTATTATTTGATAGAGTCTCTATGGCCTAAATTCTGAAATTTTAGAATTTTTTATCTCTGTATTCAATGGCAACACTTCTACTATGATGTGTTCCGCAGACCAAAGTAGAAATTTTTCTACTCTAATATGATTCCAAGAGCTGTATTTCTACTTATTCCACTTCAGGCTACCTGCCTTCTCACATATGCCTTCTTTCAGCCCAGCCCACTCTGTAAGACACATCAAAACAAATTTATTTCTCAAAAAGGCAGCAATATAAATTTGCCTCTGTTGATCTTCCCATACAAAGAACAACTATTCATTGAGGACTCAGCAATCACAGAAATTGCTTACAGTTGACCTGAAATGTCCTGGTAGTTTGCCAGGTAAATGGGAAGACAGAGAAGGAGGATTGATTAACCACTGCTTCTCATTGATTCTAGCTAAATATCATGCATGTTTTTATTTTTTTAAGTTTCGGTGTATATTTTGAACCTTTGTTAGAGGATGAACTTCTAAACTCATTGGGGAAAAAGTACAAAAAGACTGCAGCTCAGGTTGCTTTGCGTTTCAACATCCAGAGAGGGATAGTTGTCATTCCTAAAAGCTATGACCCTGCAAAGATCAAAGAAAACCTTCAGGTAAGAGAACTGCTTCTGAAAATGTAAAAACTAGGATATTTTTTATTCAAAGAATTTGGTTTAGACTAAGAAGAAACTTGTAATGCCTTCATATTTTATTTTATAACAGCTCCCTGACCCACTCTGCTGATATCTGCATTTAATTTTAGCTGAATTTAAAACTATTGCTAGCACTTTGCCTAATGCTTTGCTGATTGTACATTACAGGCATACTTCAGAAATATTACAGGTTCCATTCTAGACCACCAAAATAAAGCGTGAATTGCAATAAACTAACACGAACGTGTTTGCTTTCCCAGTACATATAAAAGTTATGTTTCATTATACTGTCTATTAAGTAGTCTAAAAAGGGTACATACTTTAATTTAAAAATAATTTATTGCTAAAAAAAATGTTAACCAGCATTCAAGACTTCAGTGAATTTTTTTGCTGGTGAAGGGTCTTCCCTTAATGTTGATGGGCTAAAATTCTAAAAATATTAGAATGGTAGTTGTTGAAGGGTGGGGTGACTGTGGCAATTTCTTTAAATAAAAAAACAATATTTCCCATTTGGTTAACTCTTCCTTTCATAAACAATTTCTCTGTCATCTGTGATGCTGTTTGATAGCATTTTTACCCAGAGACCTTCTTTCAAAATTGGAGTTAATCCTCTCAGGCCCTGCTTTATGGACTAACTTTATGTAATAATCTTTTGTTGTCATTTCAACAATATCGACAGCATATTCACCAGGAGTTAGTTTCATCTCAAGAAACCACTTTCTTTGCTCACCCATAAAAAGCAACTCCACATTCATTCAAGTTTTATCATAAGATTGCAGCAATTCAGTCACATTTCCAGGCTCCACTTCTGATTCTAGTTCTCTTGCTATTTCCACCACATTTGTGATTACTTCCTCCACTGAAGTTATCAGTGAGGGTTGGAATCAACTTCTTCCGAACTCCTGTAATGTTGATATTTCTACCTCTTCTCATGAATCAGGAATGTTCTTAAAGACATCTACAATGTGAATCCTTTCCAGGTTTTTAATTTACTTTGTCCAGATCCATCAGAAGAATCCCTACGTATAGCAGCTATAGCCTTAGGAAACATATCCTATCTAAGAAAAGACAAAAGGGTAATTAACTGTACCTCCACTATGTTTCCCATTGGCTAATTAACTGCCAACAAAGATGGCGGTTAACCACCAACAAAGATGGTGGTTCATTTGCATACCTAGGCAAAATGATGGGAGGCGAAAGGGAAAGGATGGAAGAACAGTGATAGGAAACCCAGGCAGCAGGCAAGAGCCACGGGGGTGCCATCTCACCTGAAGCCCCGTATCTCATGGCGATCGGAGGGAGAGAGAGCCGCATCAGGATCGGAGTGGGGGGGCAGGCGAGGCGGCACACAGGCACCCCAGAACCTGACATGCAAAGGTCGGGGATGAAGTGACTTTTTCCAACCACATCTGCAAATATCCTGGGGAAGGCATCACTGAAGAGTTCACAACAACTCCCTTACTTGGCAAGGAAGAAAACAGCTGGCAACGGAAACAATCCCTTACATCAAAGTTAAGGTCCCTCTGAGTAAAAATGAATATTTCCAAAGTCAAGGAGGGAGCAAGCAAAAAAAATAGGTTCTCATGACTTCCACTGATGTTTGAGCATATGACAGAGTCAAAACGAACAGACAAATTAAAACAGACAGCGGACATTCAAGTGACCCGAATCAACTGTCACTGTTTGTCCCAATAGCAGCGATGCTTATGTGATAATATAGTTTAACAAACATACAAAACAAGTCACATGATAAGAGAGATTCAGCTTCTAAAGTAAATTGAATATGTTCTTTAAAAATTCTCCTGTCCTCCCCTCTGACTATAATTCTTAATTTTCCAATCAGAAAATTACCCCAGGTGATCCAGGAACATGTAGAACTCCAGTAACCTAACTTATTTTTTAAAAAAAACAAAACATCCCAACCATTTTTAAAATGTTTAAATTGATATTTTGGGTTAAAATTATAGAAGATATTTAGATCCAAATATATTTTCTGAATAGAAAATATTTCAGTTTTTGATTAAAAAAAATAAACATAAAAAAAGATATGTGACACATTTTCCAAAGGAACTCTGAATTAGTACCTTTCCCTCTAACTTTCTTCAAATTAAGAGAATCTATGGAATGAGAGAGAATCATTGATCTGCTGCCTCCTCCACACCCTGTACTGGGGATCAAGCCCACAACCTGGGCATGTGGCCTGACCTGGAATCAAACTGTGACTTCCTGGTTCATAGGTCGATGCTAAACCACTGAGTCACACCAGCCCGGCTCAATTCTTATTTATAAATTCATTCCAAGGACATATACAGCTTGAAAAGCTTTGTACGTAGTTTCAAAAAACTAACTTTTAAGTAACAAGAAAACAATTATAGAAGAAAGTTTAAATTAAAAGAAAAAAATTGTTTTACTTTATTCACGAGTGGGAACATCCTCCATGAAAATGTGTACCTTGACTGTGGATGGTTGGGTGGTTTTATCACACCTTAGGTATTCAAATGCGTTTTACAATGAAAAGAGAGAGAGTTTCATCTCATTTCTCTTCCAGGGTAGATGTCTGTCAATAGAAGGTGGACATCAATAAAGGGAGGGGCTTGCACAATGAATCCAAAAAGTCAGCAATCTATGAATAATCCAGAACCGAATATTTATCTCCTCTGCCTCACACCCTCCCTCCCAGCCAGTGAGCAAGATAATTACTCTCAAACCAAGCTAAGTGCCCCCAGTCACAGTGGCCCAATACTGACATACAAAGCATACAAATAATTCTCACTCTGGCATAAAAGTGACAACTTTCTTGGAAGAAAAGCAGATACTGTAAATTTCTCAAAGTCTTCCTGAAACATTTTTTAAAGTAATTTTTACTTCTTTAGAAAAAATGCATACATGGCAAACCATCTGTAATAAAAGGCCCATTCTATAAAATTTTACCTGGTCCTACTCATATCTGCAATCATAACCATATTACAGAGAAATATATCTATACTAATAAAAGAGTAATATGCTAATTAGACTGGGAGACCTTCCACG